GGCCAATCTCCTATGGTCTTTGACTTCTAAATATATACATATATACTCTCCAAAGCGGCATGGCTTTTCTGACCCCCCCTCCCCCTCTTCTTCTCTTCTGTCCGACCCTTCTGAAATAACCTTTCTATACTGTCAGCACTTCGTTTCTACCCACAGAGATTGTCAATTATACACGTGCCTCCATTTTCCTTTCTTTTCAAATGGATTTTTCTAAAGGAAAAGAGAAAAAGAAAAAAAAAATTCCCCTCAATTCTTAAATCGCACGTTATGCCTATTTAGAGCAATAGAGAAACACTCCATCAGCTGCGAAATTTTTCTGAAAAGGTGTTTATTCTATTTTTCTATTGAAAAAAATATTATTTTTAATCTTTTTCGTATGAAATTTCGAAATATGTGGCGTGGAATATGTCTGCGACTAATTTTGAATTTTGTTGTTGTGTTAATGAGATGTTTGTATGGATTATAAAATCTGGAGGCGAAATTTTTATTTTTATTTTCATTTTATTTTATTGTATTTTCTATTTCCATTTCTATTTTTAGTCATATTTTTCATATGCTTTGTATTTTTTGCTGTATTTTTAACTTGTTTGTGCTTATTTGACTGATACACTATATATAGCGACAGATTTTCCACTGGTGTCGATTTACTTCACACCGGATGTGCTGTAAATTCACCCCTTGAGAGATGTACAGTTCAACACTTTACACGATACTGAAAAAAATCAATTCTTCATTTTATTTTTGAAAACGGATGAAAAGTTTTTACAATAAGTTAAAATAAACAAATGTTTTCAAAAATAACGTAACAATTAGGAAATGAAAATATATTTAATTTGTATGTTGTATTTTTTTGTTTTAGGCTGATGTTTTTCCCCCTCAAACGGTAAATAAAAGGCCTCAAAGTGTTCGGAACGGTAGAGAAACCGTTTTACCCTTTCGATCTGTGCAACAGGTGAGTTAAATTACAAAATCAATTGTTAATTTTCTCTATTTTAGTTGATATGTAGAAAATTTTATTTCCAATGACAGAAACTTTGGCGCATTTTTGGCAATTTTTACTATATTTGGAGAAAAAGTTGCTATACTAACAAAGTACATTTTTGTAAAAAGTAGTAAAATTTACTTTGTAAGTATAGTAAAAGTTACTATAAACTTTTCTCCGTGTAATAGTATGATGATGATCATAACACTAATGATAATGATGACAACATTGTCAATGATAAGAATGTTGATTATAATAATGATGATCAGAAAGACACTTCTTAACATTGTCCAGAATTACTTCCACATTGGTGATGAAAATAAATATGATGATAATAATAGTTATGATAATGATAGTACAGATGTTGATAATAGTAAAAATATTATTAATTATAGTAAAGATGTTGTCAATGATCATAAAGTTGATGATAATAATAGTAATGATAATGATAGTGAAGATGTTGTTGATGATCATAAAGTTGATGATAATAATAGTAATGATATTGATAGTGAAGATGTTGATAATGATACTAATGATAGTAAAGATGTTGTTAATGATAACAATAGTAATGATAATGATAGTGAAGATGTTGATAATGGTAATAATGATAGTAAAGATGTTGTTAATGATAATAAAGATGATGATAATTACAGTAATGATAATGCTAGTGAAGATGTTGATAATGATAATGAAAATGTTGATGATGATAATAAAAATGTTGTTACTAAAAATAAGGATGATAATAATGATAGTAAAGATGTTAAAAATAATAGTAAAGATGCTGATAATGATAGTAAAGGTAATGATAATAACAAAGATGATGATAATGATGTAGGATTAAATATTATAAAATATTGTGATTCAGAATATCTAAAGGGAGACTATATAGTATGTCTTAGGACATTTCTGATTCATCCTACAGTCATTCATTAATTTCCAGAATCAACCACGTATCTTCAGAACTTCTGCTGTTCATTCTAAACTTCCGGATTCTGTTCGAAATTCTTTTTTGTTTTATGAACAGCACTAAATGTTCCCTTTGAAAATCATTAGCTTCTTCCTCCTCTTAATCATACCGAATTTTCTCCAAACTGGGCTTCAAAATTTCCACTTTCTATTCGAAACTAGCTAATGCTAGTTGTTTCCAGCTTTAATATCCAGATATCCATCATTCATGTCTATAACAACATCCGGAAATTAGAAATCGACTATGGAATTTGTACAGGTACTGCATAAAAAAAAGTGCAGCAAGAACCTTTTCTTTAAGACCTGATCTGTATGCCAAGATTAAGATTTTCTGTCCCTTTGTTACATGTTACGTTTCAACCGGCAATCACTTTAATACAAGACTTTTAGATAACAGAAGAATTCTCCAGTTCCTAAAGATGTCATTTTGAATCTCAAATTAGAAACTATTAGTCCTCAATCATCAAATATTTAACCCCAGGTAGATCTTTCAAATCAGGTAATTATTTAGGTCCAGTTGGTCCATTCCTTTAAATTTCTCTTCCTGTTGATTCACCTTTTGTTCGTAATTGACTTATAAAACCTTTAGTCCTTTATAGATAATAAAACTTTCCCACAAAGCACTATGTCTTCCTGGAAGCTTCCCGGAAAGATTGAAAGCTTCCAGCTTTCGCTAGATTCTCACCGTTCTTTTCGAGAGTCTAAACGAAACTTTTCGTCTGAACAAAAGGGAACTTTCACTGGAACCTCAAGGGTACCTTCTGGACAAACTTCTACAGAATCTAGAGAAACCTTTAGCTTTCTGATTTTTTTACTACAAAGTTCAATTTCCTAATATTTCGGAGACTTCCAGGAAATGTTACACGGATTCAAATCACGTTCTACTAAAAAAGAGCAGAAGGAAAATTTACATATTAACATTTAAGGATACAATAAAATCAATATCAAAAGTGGAAAAAGTTAACAATTACAATCAATATCAGTATTTTTTACACATGCAAAAGAAATAATTTCGCGAGGAACTTGTAATATATACGCGTTTGGTTATCAGGATCATTAAATTTGACATTTATGTGATGTTTTAGATTTGATGTTGCGTTTAGCTTTTGTATACTATATGGATGTTTGCTAATGTTTCAGGTTCTCCCGCGTGTTCCCATCCCCAACCGTGGCCGGTATACAAGGTGAGTCACACGTGCACCAAATGCTAAATATTTTCTAAAATAGATACATAAATTTAATCCTCAGCTTGAACGAATTTATCATCTACAAAAATTACTTCCCTTGCTGAAAAATAAATTGTAATTTTAAAATTTTCAACCAATTGGATATTTTATGATACAAGAAATAATAAACGGAACATGATACTTGGCAATCGTATTATCAAAACAGGGTCTAATTGAAAAAAAATAGAATAAAATTTCCATTTTGTTTTGAATCACAGAAAGTGGAATTCAAAAATAGAAAAGAATACAATTATTGTAAAAAAAAGTACCTGTAATAAAATTTTATTAAAGTATATAGGAAGTAATTACTCTCGGTTTCTTTTTCAAACAGCGTCAATTAAATTCCTCATCAGCGAATATATTTTAATCATTATTATCGAATTGAAATAGTTTGTGATGAGTAAATGCTTGTACGTTATAAGAGAAACTTCGTGACGTGAACTTGCAAGTACGTCGTGGTAACTCGTAGTTACTAAACTGTGCACTCCATCTCTATATCTATAGGAGGCTGGAAACGCTATAAAGTCCATTCATGATCGCGTTGCCCGTTATAACGATTGCAGCTTCGCGCGGTTATCACTTGTAGAGTATAATCCGTCTACAAAGTTGGTAACCCATCATCAACCTTGTGTCACTAATTTCAGAATTCTCCATAACAAATATTAATACTTTTTCTTAAAATTACGTCTCTCTAACAGTTTCATTAATCTTTTGCAAATTGTTTTCGAATCTATGGCAAAACTTCTGTCGTTTAATCATTTCCTTTAGTATTTTTCGTGTAATTTAGATTTACCAATTAATTTTGCTTGAAATCCAAAATAAATTCTTTAAAAAAACGACACATTGCGGTTAGAATTTTAAGGATTCGGGGTTCAGATTTAGCTTAATTGGTAGCAATTACCCTAACAGAAAAGGATATTCGAGAATATGCGGACGTTTCTGAGACAATGTCTAACGGATATTAAAAGTTTCACTTAGAAAAGTCTGTAGGATATCCTGAATAACCGGATGCTGTTGGGGAATCCGGTCCAGGCTGGACACAAGTGTTCGACTCCAAATCTGGATAAATACTCTCCGGGGGGAAAAGTTAGTTATTTTAGCTTATTTTTCAGCTGTTCTAGAGAAATTAATTACTATTATGCGGATAGCAATAATCGCCAGCTAATATAATGATTAGATTTCACTGTTAATTTAGTGAAGAGCTACTGGTAATTAATAGTGTAAGCTAATTATTAGCTGCCATAGGTAAAAATTGAAAACTAAATGCCATGGTTAAAAATTAGTATAGCTGTACCTAAAAATTAAAAGCCTTGGTTAAAAATTCGTAGCCATAGCCAAAAATTAAAAGCCACGGTTAAAAATTAGTATATCCATAGCTAAAAATAAAAACCACAGTTAAAAATTAATAACCACGGCCAAAAATTATCTACAACTAAACCTTGCGTCAAAATTTCTAGTCTACCGTTTATGATCACCAACAATTAATTTCTTGCCATTCAATCATCTTGAAACGAATTCATCGATAGAGAACGAGAGAGAAGTACCTTTCGGCTTAATCTCTCCGGAGTTTTTATTTCAATCGTTCTAGTTTCTCAATCGGTTGACGCGCTCTCGAATCCCAAAAGAGAGAAGGATAGATCAGCGCACGGGGGTTTTTCAGCACAGAGAGGAGGCGAGAGTTTGTATTTGTGTCTGGCGACCCTATATACGTGCTCGGGTAGGGTGGCTTGATGGTGGGACGCAGGAGGGGTAGTTTGGATGTGGGTGCAAGGGGGCGGTAGAGGGGGGAGGGGGGCGATTCGTGAGTAATCGGCGAAAAAGAGGGGGGGATATATAGGATGGGTGACGTCGTTGCATGTTTGGTTGAGGAATGAACCGAGAGATCGCGCAAGCATCGTCTTTTGGCTGTCAGCTCCAAGCGAGTGGCAGAGCTCAGTCGACGTTCAGTTCGGCTCAGCGAGGCCAGCAAAGAAGAAAGGGGATTCCTTAATGCGTGTGTCCGTGTGTGAGTACAGTATTGTCCCACTCAGGACCTTTACTACTCGACCCCTCGTAACATTATTGTCTTGCTGAGAAACTACCTGCTTTTGGATACGTGGAAAAAAAAAATTAAGGTCCATTCCTCGGATCCCTTCTTTCTCTTTGAAACCCACGGTGTAGAAAAAAATTTTTTTTTTTCAATTGACAGGCCTAGAACCGCATGGCCTTTCGAGAAACTAGTGACTTTATTAAAGTGAGGGTGAAATTATGATGATTGTGATCTTGGAGAAGAGGAATGGGTACAGGTGACTTTAAGTGTATTTTGTTTTTTGAAATTAGGTTTGTAGATTGCCAAGTGTCAATGTGTGACGTCATTGGATTTAGCTGAAATAAATTTTTGTGATAATAAACGTTCAAGTTGTTGGTGGTTTTTGAGATTGAAGAGCAGCATATTAAAGTGTATTGTGTACTTTGCTTTTTTGTTTCAATCCGACCTGCGATAACATCAACCTGGACCATTAAAAAAAATATTTCGCACGTGACTATTGGACCCGGTGCTGGCTGAATTTTTACCATTTGTGATCTTGCTCCGCCGGACTTGCCTTTGGCGCTCTTACTCGTTACTTGTCCGCCGACTCGCCGTGCATCACCCCTCCACCTGTCTGTCGTCCCCTACCCACTTTCATCCCGTGACTCCCTCTCGCTGTCCTATCCCCACCTGCCTTTTACACGCGCTTCCTTTATTTACTATTCGCCACCCTGTCAAACAACACGACGACGACGATGACGACGACGACGACGAACTCCTGGTGAACGTCGAATCGACTCACCTGCTGTTTGACAACAATTCTCTAAATTCGGTATTGTCTTCAATCGGTATTGCGGACATCGTTATAATACCGGAAATTCACGGCCACTATTTGCACCATCTCCGATCACGTGGCTTGCTCAACGGCGACGCTGTACGACAATGTGCACGCCGCGCCGCTGTGCGGCTCCGGCGTGGGCCACCCTGGCTCCGTCACGCCGATGGGGACAGCCACCGGAACGGGGAATTCCTCCGGGTTGACCTGGTGGGCAATGATGCCCGGCACCCCCTACGAAGACAGTCCGCCACCTGTAGCCCCGACCTCGGCCCTCGCCTCGATCCAGCAGAACTCGTCGGTAGGCTCGCACCAGCAGGCCCCGACACCAACTTCGCCAGGAGCACCAGCATCGGCAGCGACAGCACCGCCAGTGCCCACGGCGAGCGCGAGTTCGACCTCGCCGAGCGCCTCCTCGGTCGCGAGCAACAGTGCAGCGGGCCCTCTTCACATACCCGCGAAAAGGCTAACCGCAACTCCAGTGGGCTCAACCTACGGGGACGTGACTTGTGTCGAGCCCTCAGGAACGCCTGTAGGAGCAGGAGTGATACGCCACTCGCACTCCTCGTCAGCCGGCTCCCAAGGCGGCTGGAGCTACAGTCCCCATCACCCCCAGGACACCCACTACACCTCCTCAGCTGGTGCCGAATCTCTAAATCATCACCAGGCGTACGGAGGCGCTAATCCTCCCACCTACTACAACCTGGCAGCGGATCCATCCTCAACCTCCGGCTCCTCCAGGGACAACCGGAAGAGCAGCTCCGTTGGCTTCTGGTCGCCAGCGGCCACGTCAATTGCCGGCTCTACCTCCGACTACAAGTCCTATAATTCGGGCGGCGTTGCAACGACAACCCCATCGACCGGAGGCTCGTCCTCCGGTGCAGTCGGCACCACGGATCCCACAGTGTCCTGTCATCAGAGCTTCTCACAAAGTTGGTGCAACTACAGTCCCTATACAACCGCAAGGCACCATCATCCCGTTGATTCACTGGGCCACCATCATGCCCACTCGCAGGCCAGCGTTTCCTACCTTACACCATCGGCTGCAGACGACCGGGGAAGGATGGCTGCTGCAGCAATGGTCGCCGAGACATTTCCCCATGACGGCTACAATCCAATCAGAAACTACGGCTCCGCCGAACCTGTCTCATCCAGTCCTTACCCACCATCAGGTAAGCATCAACTCTTTATTATCATCTTTCATTCCCCCCTCTAATATCCCACCCATGTAAGACTGGTTCTCAAACTCGAATTTCTCTTCTCCAATTATTCCGACAATCAAAAACAAATCGTTTCATCAGTCTTACATGGGTGGTCCAGACTCCAGAAGTCATTCATTGGGTTAATGAACTCCTTCCTTTTATACCCCCATTTGATCAGGGGTATCGGTAATTTGATAATTTTTATCATTTCAATTCGAAATGTATCATTTTTCCACTCTTGATTCCTTTTATCACTGTTTTACAATTTTACAATTCTTTTGTTTTTAAATTTAGATTCATATTTTCTTTACAATTTGGATTCAATTTACAATACAATTTCAATTTAATTTTTTATACAATTTGCATCATTTGAAAATAACAAAACAAACAGTTGCCAAAAATAGTGTACATGACAAAAATTGTTTACTCCAAGTAAAATATTTCTTTTCAGCGCATTTTTCCCATAATAATTGTTATACCGATGGAAATGTTTATTTTGTATTACAAACTGAAAATTGTAAATAAATCACTAAACTGGTTTATTTACTAACAAACCGTTCCTTGTCCTAACGGTATACTACTCTACAGATTGACATCCGTAGAAATTCTCCACAGGATGTTCATTCTAGAGATGACAAAAAAATTGGGATAAATTCCTATTCCTATTAATGGAATGTATCAAGGATTATTGACTGTTCTTGATAATCTTAATTTCAGGATGTCTTTTCAAAAATCTAGAATGTTTGCAAAATAGCCTGAAATTTTTCTTTTTCTAAGTTTAGAACTTTTTGTAATTAAAAATTAAGCTGACGGATCAAAGAAGAGCACATAAGTAATGTAGTTCAAATGGGTTGTGTGCCCTTCTTTGATCCGTCAGCTCAAATAATTTGTTCGAAATAGTGAATGTATTTTAAGGAATAAGGGAATTTAAAAACGGTTTTAGAATTTAAATTACATGTCGAGGATAATTTCAGAATTTATTAATTGTGGATGTATTTATTAATTAGGGATGTTCTGGATGATCCCAAAATTTAGTAACAGTGGAATAATCTATCCGTAACAGCATCCAAATAATTCTAGAATTTATTAATTGTGGTTGTTTTTGGACAATCCCACTGAATTATTAATAATTAATATTAATTATTAATTATAAATGTTCTGGATAATTGAAAAATTTACAAACTGTGGAATTACAGTTAGTGACTGGATGCCTAACATCATCCAGAATATTCTACAAACGTCCTAGGAATATTTAGAAATTATGATAACCTAAATAGTTGTTCAAATAACTAGATTTTGGCTTTCAGCCAAAAGAAAAAGTGTTTACAGTCCAAAAGGGTCGAATTCTTGATAATTTGCATCAATTTTCATTGATTGAAAAATCAATTTATTGTCCCAAACCAAATAAAAATCTACAACGAACTATAAATATCAGTTTTGGTTTGATGATAAACGGACAAATCCTAACAGCACAAACGTGTTTTTTCTTATATTCAACTCACTTTTGGGCTAAAAATAAAAACAATACAAATTGAAGTCTTCAAATCAGGCTTAAAGCATGACTAATTTTTGAACAATGATAACACTGAAAATTGTGCAGTATTATTTTAATACCAAATTAGATTAAAATAAGCTGCAGCACTTAAATCCATCTAAGGATTAAAATAACCTATCGAAGGATTATTTTTTCAAGATGGTTTAAAAATGATTTGCTTTTGATTTCGAAACATTTTTTTCGTAGAAAAAATGAATCAAAAAGTGAATTTTTTTAATTTCTTTGTCCTAATTTAAGCTGTAACGATTTTTAATACCTGGCAATTTTCTGTGTAATATTATTTCAATATTGTGAAACTTGCGGAAATTCTGTTAATGTTACTGAAAGTTTAAATGATGTAACCTAAAGCCTAGGAACTTAGCCTAAAAGACTAAGAAATTAGTCTAAAAGACTAAGAAATTAGGGTTAGTGATTAGTCTTAAAGATTTAAGAATAAGTCTAAATGACTGAGCACCTAATCTAAAAGACTGAGAGATTAGTCTTAAATAATGAGTCATATTAATCTTGTTTTCAATGGATCACTCTAATCATTTAAGAACTCTTCTAATTTCTGAAAGTCTATCCATAAACATCACAGTTTTCTCCTAAGTATCAAATTGATAACAAAGTGAAACAAATTGACCGAAATTTACAACAAAAATCGTAATCAATTTAAAATTCGATCCATATTTTTTCTATCGATTTGTTGCAGTTTGATACTATCAAGTTAACACTGTCAGGAATAGAATCTTTGGCAAGAAATTTGCAAAAACTTAAAAGTATCAAATTGCAACGAATTCCTACCAAAAATGTGGATCAAATAAAGAAATAGTTCCAAATTTTTGGTATCAATTTAATCCAAAGTTTTGGTATCAATTTGATCCAAAGTTTTGGCATCAATTTGATCCAGTTCAGTGCCAATTTGATAATTCCAAGGAAACTGAGAAGAATTTATTGACAACAAAATTAGTATCCTTCTAACATATTAGAAAAAATCTTCAAAAGAAATGAACTTCAGTGTTAATTAGTACAAAGTCCAAGAGAAGTAATTATTATAGAAACAGGGTGAAAATAAAATTTTTAATCTTCAAAACAACAAGTTGGAAAGTATTGATGAAAAATTTATTCACTATTAAAAAGAATGGCAATTTTCACTGTAATTAAGACATTATTCAATTGACTTATCCCATTTTTGTATCGACTTTCGAATGACATCATTGGCAAGGTGAACGATCGTTTTGTAATTGGTAACGAAATGGCTATTTCATGCGGGTCAGGGTCGGGATGACCGCGTCTTTCACATGCACGCGACTACAGGGATCTCACGCGCCACTGAAGTCGTAAAGTTGACAGTTTTCCGTGTCGTAAATTAGCACTGAAATTTTACGTTGCTCTCAAATTAATAGCCTTTAAATGATTCAGCGTGCGATTATTGCAACCAGTATAGTCTTGCACTTTTTTCTCTTTCTCCAATTCACTATCGTTACCTATACATAACTAATTACACAATCTTCTCGTTAATTTACCATTTCTTTCTAAAAAAAAAAACAAATTTCTTATTCTCAACACCTTCATGAATTTTTTTTTTTTTAATTTGAAAAGGTCGAAAGTCATTTTGTTGATACTTGATAGTTCTGTTGTTGATAGTCATTTTATCAATAGTCATCTTGATGATCCTTTTTTTATAATTTTTCTACCATTTTCCAATCATTTTCCAACCATTTTCCTACTCAGACAAGTTGTTAATAGATGAATGAATTTAGTAATGATTGTGTAATTTTATCGTATAGTTTGTTATCAGATAACGTTTTTAGTGTTATATGTGAGATAAATTTTTGAGTTTATGGTTTTTTTTTTCAGTACAAATCGAGCGGGGAAAAAAAGGAGTAAAATTATCGTTCATTCATGCGTTGGTCAGACCCCCTGTGCTCCCCTTGCCATAGGTATAGCTTGTGAAACGTCGCATGAGCAACAACGAACGGCGGTGGGTTTATTGGCGGCCGTAACTCGTAAACTCTGGCGCGCGCCTCTGATCAGCTGATCCGTTCCATGACCCGTGCCTGCTCTTCTATCTTTTTCTACCAAACATGCCCTTCCCGTTACAAATGTTATTCATTTCCAATGCGACGTTAATTTCCCCAATTCACCCATTTTGCAATTCATAAATGAAAAAAAAAAAAAAAAAAAAAAAAAAATTCTTAAAGCTGTTTAACTCTTCTAAAACTTTTCTAACTTCTTTAAAATGCCTAAGCATCTAAAACTTTACTATAGAATTAAAAACTGATACAATTGGTATAAACTAAAACTATTTTAGAAAAAAAAAAAAAAAAATTTCTAAAAACGGTTCAACTTTTCTGACAATATGCTAACTTTTCTAAGATACCTAAAAGTCTAAAATTACACTGTAATTCAGAACTGATACATTTAGTATAAACTAATACAATTTTGAAAACGTATTGGTATAAAATTGGTATGTCATACAATTTTAGTTTAAAAAAAAAAAAACTTGTTAACTATTAAAAATTTAAACTTAATCCAATAGAGAAGTCTCAGAAGACATGGATTCCTCAAAAGAAATAACAAAAAAAACCATCCTTTTAAGGCAAAAATTATATAATTTTATGAACTTTTAAAATTTTATTAACAATAGTGCCGAGCCCTAATCTCAGCGCGTCGCGTGTAAATGTTATTTACAACTCGTAAAACATCGCAATAAATAATACACAAGGCGCCTATTGCCAGTTGAGACGTTGAACTAACGGTGATTTATGATTCAGCTGATTCTTTTTTTTTTTTCTTCTTCTTCTTTTTTATTTTGAATGCCTTTTAAAGTTCAATTTTAGTCGCTAATTATATCCGCAGTTTCATTCCTTAGAGTCAATAAAAAACGTTTTTCAAGTCTATAAAAACCGATTGCCACCGAAAGTAGCTACCCACTTGTAAGATTCCGCAGCAGGTTTATTATACTCTCGAAATTGAATGGGATGCGCGGTAAGAATAGTTTTTGTTTCGCTCAATAGATGGCGGCTCTAATATCTTTAGGCTGTACATTTAACGCCTTGTGTACAGTGTATGTATGTATATATATTCGCACCCCCTCTCCAGTTCGCATCAGTTTCGATCGTTTTCTCCCCTCCCCACCCCTCTCTGCTTAAACACCCGAACGCCCCACCAACTTAATAGGATCTAAACCCCCGAATTCGTTTCGAACATGTAACATTTCTTTATCGAGACGCGTGAATAGAAGCTAAAAAATGTTATTTGATGGAATTTTTAGGAATTTGAATCTTATTAGACATAATTTTCTTTTGGCCGAATTTTAATTAGATAAAAATTAATTAATAAAATTTAATTTTAAGCTTAATTAATAAAAAATTAAAATTGAAGTATTTTATAGAATTTAACTTCAAATTCCAGTTGGAAGAACTTTTATTTA